TTTAGCTTTTCAGAAGTAATTATTAATTAATTTTGATCAAATAAATTAATTGCTTTGAAATGTAGGCAACAATAATTATAAATTGTTAAATATTTAATAAATATAAATTATTTTATCTGTTATCAATTACCAATTATTAACTACTTTTAACAATTAAATTAAAATAAAAATTTAACAATTCTAAAGAACCTAACAAAATTAATGGTGAGTATGACTATAACCCTTCCTACCTGTAGACTGTAGGGGAAGTGGAACCTGCTCTAGTGAGAAGCACTACGTTCTCCTCGAACCTGTCAAACACATTACCTCTCCCCCTCTCCATAAAAATATTGTATAGTAATTAGGGTTGGGCATTTTAAACCGAACTAATGGATTACTTGAAAATTGAATTGAAAAAATGAATTTAGTTTGGTTTAAATGGTTTTTTATTTTTATTTTTTTGGTTTTAGTATTAATCGAATATATTTTGGTTCGGTTTCAATTGAGACTTTCAAAAATCAAAAACTAAAAATAAACCCTTTGAAAATTAAAATTAAGATAAATATGATAAAATATAATAAAATATGTGATAAAATATAACATATTATTAAAAAAATAATTAATTATTATTTATTTATTAAAAATTGAAATCGAATCGATTTTATTGATAACCAAACCGATCGGTTTTTGATAATTTTAGTTTGATTTAGAATTTTAAAATTAAAGAAAATTTTTTTGGTTATTTTAAAACCAGTTTGGATTTTAACCAAAAACCGGTTTTGCCCACCCCTAATAGTAATTGCGCTCTTTCGAAGAAAAAAAAAATTCCTTTTTACGAAATCGTAAACAAATATGAGGATGCGGAGTGTGTAAAACCAAAATAGTTTATTGGCATTTGGGATACACTAATTAGACAATTTAAATGGTTCTTATTTTTTTTTAATTCTTCTTTTATTTCAAAATAATTATTTTTCAATTAAAAATTTATAAATAATTTATATATTTATTTATATTATTTTTAAAAATAATAAAAGACTTTATCTTATAAGAATAAATAAAAATTAATATAAAAAATGTATTTATTTATTTTAAATTATACAATAAAAGATTA